TAATCGAGGTTCATGACACCCTCGCAATACTTTTGAAATCGTTCCAATCGAACTAACGACCCCGTCCATATATATTTTAGGATAAAAAAACCGCAACTTACATAGCAGTAGAGAAAGGCAATATAGCGATACTCAAATTATTACTAAACGCTAACCCAGACCTGGAGATTGCCACGAAAGACGGCGACACGCCTTTATTACGGGCGGTGAGGTCGCGTAACGCCGAAATCGTGCAATTGCTTTTAGACAAGAAAGCCAAGGTCTCGGCTACGGACAAGAAGGGCGACACTGTACTACACATAGCGATGCGCGCGCGATCGAAAGCGATCGTCGAGATACTACTGAGGAATCCAAAGAATAGCCAGTTATTGTACCGTCCGAATAGACAAGGTGAAACCCCCTACAACATCGATGTCAACCATCCCAAGACGATGCTTGGTCAGATATTCGGTGCTCGTAAGTTAATCAGACGTATGCTATTATTCATGTAACGTTATTATTGGTAACTTAATTCACGATATGCAGAAAATATACACACTTTTAATATTTTAATTCATTTTATTAAAAAATGTGATAAACGTTACAGGGCGCTTAAATACTAATGAAGACAATGAAAACATGCTTGGTTACGATTTATACAGCAGTGCACTGGCAGACATTCTCAGTGAACCATCGCTTTCTACACCAATAACTGTCGGTCTTTATGCTAAATGGGGCTCTGGGAAATCATTTTTACTGAACAAATTAAGAGGTATCATCAAATGAGTTGTTACAATGCTATTTAGTAATTTTACGGAATATCACAAAAATTCTTTCTATGAACTGATAATTCTTTGATGAATTTGGAACCAAATCTTTTTTTAAAAAAATATTAAAAACTTAAAATTTAATTTTAAATAGAATATTACATTATGGCAATTTAAACTTTTGGAGTATTTTTCGGTATATCTGTATACACATGAGCTTTATGAAAAAGTACTAACGACTATTATTTCAGAGGAAATGAAGAACTTTGCGCGACAATGGATCGATCCAGTATTCCAATTCTCTTCCTTACTCTTTTTAGTAGTAGCTCATGTAACCCTACTTATGGGTATCACACTTGGCCTCGCCTTACAGTCGTGGATTATTGGTCTGTCGTCTGGAATAAGTTTACTAGTTGTCGTTTATATTTTTCTGATACTCGTCTGGTATGCTAATAAGAGGTAAGGAAAACCGCAAGGAGTGAAGCTCTATTTATTTCATATACAATGTCCTGATCGAAGATCTGTAATCATAGGTACGATTGGTACTGGCCGTATAATCTGACAGTAGCGCTCACCACCAAGCTGAACGCTCTAAAATTGCTATTGCAAGTAATCTTTTGTCATCCACCAGGCAGCCAATGTCACGATGGCATAGCAGTGCAGCCGATAAAGTTTTACTTCACAGATCAAACCCGCGTGGGTACGACTGCTGCCGGTGAGAACGCGGTCGTGCAGATGGTTGGCTCGCTATATGATTCCATTGAGAATGACTACGGTTCTCTGTCTACCAGATTATTCAGAGCATTTCGGCCAAAACCGGATAAATCGACCACTACGTGGAAATGGAGGCATTTATGCTGCTTGCCTTACGTAGTCATATTTGAATTCTGCTTATGCAGCTTGCTTGTCGGTATTTCGATACTTACGGTGTACCTCATAGATATTTCCAATGATAAGTGAGTAATTATATGTCGGATATAAGTATTCTCTCTTCCTTTTTATTACTTATCTTATCTCATTATGCGTTTAGATCCACGATAGAGCGAGTTACTGCTCACATTATCATGATATCGATCGCCTTGGTATTGGCCATCAGTATAATAGCAAATTTATACACATGGAGTAGAACACTGCAGGCATTGGTTTTTTCACAGAGGAGGCACCTTCAACGTAGTATATCAAAATTAGAGACTCTGAAGAGCGAAGGATTCATTCAGACTCTAAAAAGCGAAGTCAATTTAATGACAGAAATGGTAAATTATTCATCTATTGATTGAAATAATACAATTAAAACTTTGCTTACAGGAGTATAGCTTTTAATTACGATTTTAAATAGGTCAAGTGCTTGGATAGTTTTATGGCTCAACAAAGTAGACTAGTTGTAATAGTGGATGGTTTGGATAGTTGCGAACAGGATAAAGTTTTACTCGTTTTGGACGCTATACAGGCCTTATTTAGCGATAACGGATATCCTTTTGTCGTAATACTCGCAATTGATCCACATATTATATCTAAGGTAAGCAACCTTTAAAATAAAAATATTTAAAAAATTGTAATATCAATTTCGACGTTACTTTAATGATAATTATCATCCGATACTGTGGGTGTAGGCGGTAGAAGTAAATAGCAGAAGACTATTCTCGGAATCGAATATTGGTGGTCATGATTACTTGCGGAATATGGTGCATTTGCCATTTTACTTGCAAAATAGCGGTTTACGTAAAGTCAAGGTTGCGCAACAGACTGCTCAATACTATAAGAAAACGACATGGACAGAGGCTGAGGAGAGTGTTAACTACACCGCGACTAGCACCATGCATCATTCGGTATCGAGTAGAAGACTCAGCACGGAATCAGCTATAATGAACAGCAACGAAAAATTGAAACCCCAAACTAGAAAGGGCAGTAGAAAGATGCGATTGAGTGAATCGATCGCTAGCAGTATTGGCAGTAATTTGAATCGACTGGGCGGCGCGCAAGATCTCAATAAGATGCTTCTCACTGATGATTACTTTAGCGATGTGAATCCCCGCAGCATGAGAAGATTAATGAATGTCGTTTATGTTACCGGTAATGCATTAAGTCATATAATTACAATATACGAGTTTATGTTATCTTATATATATGTATATGTTATCTATCTTTCTTTTCCAGGACGATTACTTAAAGCATTCCAGATTGACTTCAACTGGTATCACTTAGCTAGTTGGATCAACATTACTGAGCAATGGCCTTTTAGGACATCTTGGCTCATTCTTCATTACGACTTATATGAGGAAACTCTGGATGATAATATGTCACTCAAAAGTCTTTACGATAAGTATGTGAATCTTATATAATATGTAAAATTTTATATAATCCTTTTTTCTTACACCGCTTATATATATATATATATATATATATTTTTTTTTTATATTTATTAGGGTGCGACCGCAAATTCCAGTACTGAAAGAGGTGCAACCACTTCTCGAGATAGATAGAGACGAACGCAAATTGGATGTTTTTCTCACTTTCCATCGGTCTAGCTTACTCATTAGTGATATGAAAATATTCTTGCCTTTCACTATTAATCTAGATCCGTACATTAAGAAAAAAATAAAGGAGGAGCAACAAAGTATAGAGGAAGATATGAATCTATTTCATAAACAAAGTGGTACTTGGCATGGTCACGGTGTTCCATTTGATCAATGGGCTCCACAAAGAAACACGTCGACAAATCGACATGCGAAATTTGTCAAGCAATCGAGTTTGCAGGGATCCGTACCACCGACGCCATCGTGGGGTTATCAGCCAAGCTTCGAATGGCAAGTTCCGCCAGCTTGGATGCAAATGCCTTCTATGGAACCAATGACAAAACCGCTTTCCGTAACAACTACGTTACCGGTACATTATAAATTAATTGTACGAATACTTCTTGCTGTTGAAAAGATGTGACTTATTGCTTTATTTGTATTTGCAGTCCGAAATTTTAGAAATAAAACTGTCGTCCTTATCAGTGAACGGAGTTTGTGATCTGATCGACAAAATTGAAAGTCTTAATTCGATACAAGCACCGATATATAAGCAAGCCATCAAAGAAAACAATATTAATGGACGAGTTTTATTACACTGCGATTTGCAAGAACTAAAAAAAGTAATCTTTGGAACGTTGCATCTTTATATTTCAAAAAGAAGTTTTTAAATATTTATATTTTTTAGGTATTTAAAATGACTTTTGGAGATTGGGAATTATTTCGCATGGTAATTGTATCACTGCGTGAAATGGAACTCTCGTCATTCACATATGAGGAAGGTCCTCGAAGTGTTCGATTTACTGTAGGATCCGAACAAATTTTACGCAAAGGTACATTCGACATCTTTTTTTTGATCTGCTCCTTTTTTTGATTCAACTATTTTTTGGATCATTTTTATTTCGTTATAGATCACGCCTTACCAAATAATTCCATACGTGCGTCTGCTCACGTCGAAAAAGAGAAAGGAGCATCGAGAACGGATGGATCAACTCGACGTGATCAAAATAAACAATCTATCATGGAAAAACAGGTATGATATAAGTATTATTAAATGAGTTTATACAAAATAATCATAAATAAATTTACAAATTGATATAACTGAAAACAAAATTTTTGTTTATATTTGCACTCGGCAGTTTCAGGTAAGCTGTTGTACTTACTTTAAGAAATAAAAAAATCTTTATACTTAATTTTTTTATTTATGTATGTAACAACAAGTAAAAAATACTATCTGTTGTGAACATGCTAAAATGCATATAATCGTATACGTTTCAGGTAACATTAGAGGAGCAAATGATTTGCGGAGCATTGCAGACCTTGAATGAAGAAGCTTGCGAGGATGTTTTAGATGTGCCATCGCCAGCGGTGGCTCCAACAACAGACTCACTTTCTTCAGGTGAGCCTACTCCCCTACCACTTACACTGCCTCTGGTAATAGTGCAAGAGCCACCGCAGCCTGACCAAAACAGTGACACCTCCGCCGAATACAATGCTAACGTTTAGTCAAATCTGAAATAGGATGACTATAGGATGATGTATATAATATCCGTCAAGTAATGAATGACAGTATAAATCGCTCACGTTGCGTATATCACAAAAGCAGAGATTTTTCCGGCGTGACTTCTATCGAAACATGCAACGACTAGGCATCATTATCACTGCATTCAAGGATGGTGCTTGCCATTTTATGATGTTAAAAGAAAAAGAAAGATTCAAAGGACATACTTCATCCTATTTATAGTTTTATTTATATATCTGTATGTCCGTAGAACATTACTTGACAGTATTAGTGACAAAAGATGTATATAGTCGCAATAGCACTCGACAAGCCAAATAAAATGGTTATATAAATATACTGTTAGGCCATTTGTAACTTACAAAATGAAAGACTATTCTCTGTAGAAACATGTACAAATTTTCTTAAAGTATTCATGTGCCAATGCGAAAAACCAATGATACATATCGCACGAAGAAAGAACAAAATGAAAGCCATTAAACAATTGTAATAGGATCATTATTGTACTGCGTATTCGTAGGACTAGTTTAATATAATGCTCATTTTAAAAGCTACACTGTTAAAAATATCAAATTTAATTGTATTACATTAAATTTAATGTATTTGTAACTGAAAAGTATATTTGTATACATGTATATGACATTTAATGATGCTTTTCGTAATATCAATTTTATTAAATTTAATGTACTTTCCACACTATCAAATATTTTATGTGGATTTTGCAGTTACTTTATAATAATAAATCTACATGTTATTTGAATTCATTTCGAAATTTCTAACAGTGTAGTTTAATGTCGATGTATAATGCCACATTGAACAAAAAAGGATTGCATTATTAAAAAAAAAAACCTAGTCGGTAATATACGAGCATACTCTACTGCATTTGTAAGCATTATTATATAATATTTAAAAAAAATGCCAGAGGCACTACTCTCAAAGCTAATCGTTTGATGTTTTCTGTGAACAATTCATGTACAAAAGACTGTGATAACGCATTGTTGATAAAACAAATATCTCATGTGGAAAATGTTTATGCTAATCGAGGCGACGTATAACATTGTATTATATTTTTAAAACTGTTGTATGTAAAGTAATCGTTGGCGATAAAATTAAAAGTTGCGTCCTATTACTCCGGTCCACGTTTCCCGTACTATGTGTACACTATAAATATTATTGCTAGATTATTAGCACTATGTTATGAACAGTATTATGTTATTACGAGAGCAAGTGGCAATAAAACTTTCTTGGAAACCATATCTGATATTACCTTCTTTGTAATTTGCGTCTAGAAGTCTTCAATTATTATTATCATGACTAAGCGTTTCGAAGAATGAAAATTGAAATAAGAGAATTATTTAAAAAAAATCGAAAAACGTATCTTTTTATCATAAATATCTTTTTCGGTAACTTGATAAATTTCTATATAAAACTTTTGTAAGGAATAAATCTATTTTATGATTTGGAATTAAATGGCTTCATAATGTATATTATAGTTAATTGGAACACAGTATGATAAGCAAATATAACATGAGCTTTTGTTTTAGGACCTGTCATTTCGGTACACGATACGGAGTATGTACTGCTTCAAGCCAGTCCGCTGTTTCATTGGGTACCAATTAATGATGAGCCAGGCAGTTCAGATGATAGTTCACATGACTCCATCATGTTCCTTCAACGTACCAATTCTCAGCGTAGCATCACATCTCAACGAAGTACGAAGTCCGCCTGCTCACATAAGACCCTAAAGAGAAGCGGTAGCAACATTAGCACTAGACCGTCCTCGCTATTTATTTCTCCGCCTTCGTCACCGAAACCTGCGATCAGATCGAAGTCGACCGACGAAAGGTGTATGGGGAATAATATATCCCAGAAGACCACGTCATCATTTGTGTCCACCAAGAGACGCTTGTCCTCGACATTTAATGATGAAGTGATGATATCGGTGCCTACTTCCAGCCTGGAGAAGCTGTCAAGGTTGAAGGACCGTTTAATTGGCACCGCGCCGACGGCGAGATCACCGGCACCCGGTGGTGAGAGCGATGACGAGTCTACACCACTAGTCTCTGAAATGTCCACGCCAACGCATTCCCAATCAGATAGCGTGTTCAAACATGATTGCAGTGCAGAGAATAGCAGTTCGCCGTCGTCAAACAGGAGTCTACCGCGGGATGGAGAACGTCGAGACTTGGATTACTCTGATACTGTGAGTCTTGTGATACGCGAGCCCTCGAACGCTCAATCGCAATCTCGGCATAACGCCAAGATACGGAACGACACAGAGACGCCTGTCTGACACCTGTCGTCTTCTATACATGATAACACGTGATAACTCGGCGCATTGTATGTTTAATTGATATCAATGTGATGAAGATGACTGGCATCTGTTGAGCAAATTTATACGCTGTAATTCTATTTTGACGATAAGCATCGAGATAAGATATCTTCCTTATGTAAATAACGAATGATGGAACGAGGAAATTTTTTATAACTAGAATGTTCATCTGCTTAGTGATTTGGAGAACGAACAATGCCTTCTTGCGCAAGTCGTGCAATAATCCTTAGTTTAGCGAAACGATCTCAAGATATACGATGCCGATGCGACCATTCCATGTAAATATTAATCAATGCATTTACAAATGCAGATATTTATTGACATTTTCTTTTTTATACTGAATTAGTACTGAAATGTGTTGAAACGTGGGAAATGAGGAATATTTCCTAATGTACAGTATATACCAAAGTACCTTGTTCCCAGTAATCAATTTGAGTCAATTCATGTCAGTGCAAATATAGGTGACTTAAAGAATAAATATTGAAAAGAGTATTTTAAAGAAGAGATAATTTAAACGACCAGTACACGATTATTGATTAGACTATATATCTGATAATTATATGTATAATTTATAGAATTCTATCCATAATTTTATCAAACAAAAATAACTTATAAACGGTAATTTTTGCTTATGTATTACTTTATATTTATTTCCAAAGTAAAAAGTTTTTATAATGAATTTTATTAGAATATTGCAGTATGAACACTTATTCACCGTTTTAATACTTCTTTATTAATTTTGGTATAATATTTTTTCTTTATCGAATTACAATGTATTACTAAGTAATCACTAAGAAACGTAAAGAATGTGTTAATGATACATTTCTTTTATTAATGGCAAAAATTGCAATTATTATACATAACATTAAATATTTAGGACACTTTAGGACGGAATACATCAGGGTATTGATCATTCATTACAATATATTGTAAATAATGTATATACATATGCATATATATATTACATATACACATATATATACACATATATATATGATTGTATAGATATATTAATTTGAAAATAGTGTGTATATATATATGTATATGTATGTATATACACATATACACGTCACTCATTTCTTTTGACATTAAATATAATAAAATATATTCAAATACAATACATTGCAATAATATTAAATACTGTATATAATACATTTAGACTTAGGCAAACGCAATACATAAAATTGAACCAATTAAAGAGGACGAATGCTTCCTCTTTACATTATAACTATTATAACAGACATTTACATGCCAATTAAATACAAGGATAGTCCCGCTTGTAATTAAATGCATTGTTTGCAATAAGTATTACGTAAAAGAGAGAGAGTGGCATATCACGTCAAAGCGGTAGCTATGTCCTTGTTAAATCAGATAATGGAATGTTACAATTATACAGGTATAAATTTAAAA